TGCATGCTGGGTTGTTACTCTACTTGGTTTTGTAATTTTTGGGTATAAACTGCATCTATATATTGTGTTAATAAACTCCTCAGTTCCTGTGTGCTTGTTAGGATTCAACAAATCTATATTAAAGTCACCACATATGAACATTAATTTATGACTTATTGACGAGTAATTTTCTTCCATCCAGTCATTAAATTTTTCTATGCTGGCTCCAGGTGCTCTATAAATACAGTTTATTACAACATTTTTCTTTTTTTCCACGAGTATTTCTACAGTCACACACTCCAGCAAATTATCCACCACCCTTGACATTTTCTCCACTTTCTTATAACAAAAGTTTTAATCATACACATAAACTAAGTGATCAAGATGTGTCAGATTGCCTACAATACAAAGTCAGTTTTGATCAGAGGTGGCTCTAGTAATGACTTTGGTTTATAGTTAATTAATTAATGAAGTAAATTAATTTACAAATGACACACCTTGCAGTGAAAATCTGGAACGGCTATGCTCGGGTAGAGTGAGTTAACTTCTGATCACAGGGTTGGTGGTTTGATTCTCGATCTCCCCAGTCCAAATGGCAAAGTGTCCTTGGCCAAGAAACTGAACCCTAAGTTGCATCTGATGGCCAGGCCAGCTCCTTGCATGGCAGCTCCACCACTATTGGTGTGTGTGTGTGTGTGTGTGTGTGTGTGTGTGAGTGGGTGGATCTGTAAAGCACTTTGTAAGGTTGAAAAGTGCTATATGAGTGCAGTCCATTTACCATTTATCCTTAGGATACTTTGGGCTATGTTCTCCTGGATGTTGCCTTGAGGTGGCAGCCAAGCAGATGAGGTTTTGAAAAGGCTGTTAATGGCTTTGGAGTTAGTCTTGTGATCTTTGTCAATCTGCATAGAAAATGATGCTCAAGCTCTACAGTTAATGAAGTTTCTTTCTGTTGGTGATGGAGTGGTGATTGAGGGTGTGTGTGCAGGTGTGTTTACACAGACACATTTCAGGTGCTTACTTCATTAGTTGTCTTTGGATTCCTTGGGGCAGAACTGATCTTATTAGTGTCATCTTTTGGTTCACTGGAGCAAAATTGGGAAGACACTGACTCCCCAAGTCTTAAGCTGTTCTTGGCAATTAAGCAGCATTTTGTGTCACCTTTAAATAGGAGAGCATTTACTTCTTGTTATTGCTCCTTCAATCAGTCATCACATCTGAGTGCTCTGCATGTCAAAAGTAACATCCATTATTTGAGTTTACCCCACCGTGAGGGTTCAGGCAAGAAATATTAAACTGTAAAAGTGCTAACTCCCTTTTTGTTTGCACTCTTAACAGTGTAAGCTAACGCAAGGCAATCACTTGCCTGTGGTGCTGACAGATAGTGGCCATGTCAGAGGCAACAAGGGAGATGAGCTGTCAACCAGCTCACTGATCCTGTGTGAGAAGTGGACAAGGAGACTACAGACATGTCCTCCAGGCAAAAGAAAGGCTTGTAAGAAGAGACAGCTTCACTATATGTTGTACAGTAGCCTTTCTATATGAACATGTACAGTATGGCTGTGCAATATTTTTTCTCCTTTTTGAACCAACAGTTTGACCAGTGAACATCACTCCTGGAACCAAATCAAATCAAAAAAGAGCTGACCTGAATTAGTATCACTGCAGAGGAAAGCTCTGATCTTTCGTTGGCTAGGGAGTGGCAACAGTCTGCCAATTTATTGACCTATTTACTTAATCTCTCACGTGGAAGGACTAAATTCACCTGGCTAATAAATCTGTGAGTTTCAACAAGCAAATGCTGTTTACAGAGCTGCTTGTAGGTGACATGAAAGAAAAAATATCCTTCTATATTTAGATGAATGCATTAATCAATAATGCATCAACACCGGCTTCCTGATTAGCTAGCACTCATCTACTGTATTGCATTCTACAGTTGACAGAATAAATTTATGCCTGTGTATCAATGTACGAGTCTAAAGAATGTTAGAAAGAATGTGTCTTATAGCCCAGGAACAATAAAAATGTTTAATACTAACTCTGTTGTTTACTGTTTGGTTCATGTTAATATTTTTGCTTTCATGTGAGTTGTAGACTTGGCAGTTATGCGGCTGTCGTGTGTTGTGTCGCATAACTATTGTTTTCCAAATATGATGACGGAGGAAGTTATTTATGGTTAAACTACCCCCACCCCCACCTTAGCACCCTCTGGTATAAGGTGGCTCTCTGTCTGAGGTTGTGGTAACCATAGCAGGCCTTGGAAAGTGAAATGTGATGCGGTGGGCCGTCTGGTCTGTTTCTGAATCACAACTCCATAATGAGCTGGTTGAGCTCAGGCTACATCAAAGATGCAGCACCACCGTATCTGTTTCAACTCGCAGTGCACAATAGTGCGGTTTCTCCTGTGCCGGTATGAGTGGAGGCGGTTAGTGACTGAAAACGTTTTACCATCCTGCTGTACTCACATCCATACATGTCCATTCTTAGATGACCTCCCCCTGTAAACTGTCTGCTCTGCTCTCCTTTAATCACACAGGTGCTCAATCATGACCAACATTTGGGAAAATGAATAAAGAATTTCTAGTCTTTCCATAAAGTGAAAATATGGTTTCATAGTACAAAATTATCTGAAGAATTGTTTTTTTTTTTTTGATAGACAACAGTGTCAGTAAGACGTGTCGTTGAAATCTGTAGAATGTTAAGCAGCATCACAACTCACATATTAGTTATAATAACTGTAATGGTCAACAAATAACTTATGGTAGCACACAAGGGTTACTAGTGCAGCTTAAGGTTAGCTTAATTGGTAATGATCTGGATAATAAAGAAGGTAGGTAATTTGCTTAAGAGTGCAGTCATTATATGGAGATTTCTTGGCAAATTGCAATATGTACCAAATTTTTTCTCTTTTTATTTTCACATAATAGTCCAAAAGTTCTCAAGTCACTAATATTTTTATGAGGTTCCAAAAGTTTGCCTAGAATCAAGAAGAGTTTTCACACCGTGTTGACATAGTGCTGCAGGCACAGAAACTCTGCCTGAGCAGTAAATTAGTGCTTAATCATTCTTACCACTGGGGTTCAGTGATTAGTGCCAGAGAATGGTAACCACAGGAGCTGCATGGCTTAACAGTCTGACTCAGAGGTCACTCTGATAGACTGATGTGACAACTCGTGTCAGTTTACTTTTGACTGCTAATAGCAGGCCTGTGTGTTAGTGGCAATCCATCATTGCTGACTATCCAGGCCAGTCCCAAAAGACATCCATCCTTGATATGAATGTTAGTTTGTGGCTGATCGTCACCTGGTGTCAGTAGGATTACCATACAGGGAGTAAAGATGCTTGTGGCAGGTGTTAGTAATGCACATTCACACTCACTGTTGCTCATGAAACAGATGCAGTATGTTTATGGTTTAGTTTTACAGGATGAAGAGATTATGCTTTGAGTAAGAACTCACTTTAATGTACAGAGATGTTTTCTATCCAGTCTCTAAATACTGAGCTGGTGCACATTTTATAAAATGGGTAGTATTAAATCTCACGCTGTTAGTTTTGTTGTACTTCCTGTTACTCACCTTGTGTCCCTTCTTTATTATCTGATTCTGCCCCTTTCCCTTGTCTGTTGTTTTCTGGAATGGCTACTCTGTTCTTGTCTACTGCTTCACTTTAACTGTTCTCTTGGAATCTCTGTACTAATGATAAATTGGTTTGATGGAAAGAACTTGTGGTTTGTGACTTTGGACAAGGTCTTTATTGAGAAGACTGTTTGCTGTGTACCTGAGCACAGTACAAGCAATGTTTATAACTTACTGATGAAGTCTTCATTAAACATATTAAATGCTCCCAGGCTTCCTGTGTCCAAAACCGCAGCTGTTAAAATGCACTAGTTCTTGGAAAAGCTACCTACTATTTGTAGGAATAGTAGTCTGAAGTGTTTTCTTGCAAGAGACTGGAAGTGCTTCAGGAGAAGATGTAGTTTTATTGCCTCAGGTGTGTGCAAGTAAAGCACTATAAAGCAGTTGAAAGGTTTTTCTGGGTAACATGCTGTATTTGTTCTAATGTTTCCCATGCTGTGGCGATGGGCACTGGTGAGAAACTTGGCAGTTAAAAAGTAATGTACTGTGCTACGATGGTATGAAGGTTTTAGCTTATGCTTGTCCATAATTACCTTTGCATCCACAGTAATGTTTGTATTGTTTAGATGACCGAAAGGAGACTACTCAGGCATGTAAGACCCCAAGACCTTCTCTGTGTAATAGGCTAAGAAAATCAATGCTCAATTAGATTTTTTTCCCCAGTTTTTTTGGCCTTCCAAAGTTTTGTTCTCAATTGCTATGGGGAAAGATTAACAATGTTCTGACGTCCGCTGCTGAGTATATATCATAAGAAATAAATGATGTCTTTGAAATGATTTTTACTCTGAGATGTTTTTTCATCCAAACGACATATTTTAGCTAAAAACTACTGAAATATCCAGCCTTTTATTTTTCTGGGTTCAGGAGGATATGCTTTTATGAGTTTCATAGGCAGAAGCAGTCTTAACTAATAGATATACACTCACGACCACTTTATTAGGTACACCTGTACAATTGTATGCACTTCAGTGCAACATTTCTTCTTTAACATCTGTGTTTATGAAGCTGAAAATGTTTCACGTGAAATAGTCATAAAAGTATACATTCAATTATATGTTTATTATTGAAGTCATAGTTAAAGGTGGTGTACTGGACTGCATTATATTCAGAGGTGTCTCTATATTTTTGTCCTCCCCAGCTACATACTTGAGAGGGTCAGAATATTAAGAACACCTCTGAATATAATGCATATCAACAATTTGAGCTTCATAAACAAATGTTAAGGCAGAGGTGTTGCACTGAAGTGCATACAATTGTAGAGGTGTACCTAATAAAGTGGCTGGCCATTGTATAGTATTCTGTTACACCTCATTGCATCTCTCTCTCTCTTTCTCTTTCTCGTTTTTTAAGAATAATTATGTTTCCCTCTGTGTCTCTAGGAGAGTCTCCTGACCTATCAGTGATACCAAGGCTCCTCCTGACTAAGGGATATCATGGGGACCCTCCCTGTTCACCTTTCCCCAGTCCTTTTCCTCCTCTCTCTTTTCCTCCTGTCCCACCCCTGCACTTCCTTTCGGCCACAGGTTGTGGAGCGAACGACTGGCCCAGAGCATCCTCAGCCCACGGGTAATGCTACAGGGACTGGAAAGCGGTCATGTTCAGACGTAGTGGTGTGTAAACCCGGTATCCTGCTGCCTGTGTGGTTACCACTCAACCCTCCACTGGGAGAGCAGGCAGGGAGGGCTATCATCTACTTCCTCTGTCTCATGTACACGTTCCTCGGTGTGTCCATTATTGCAGATCGCTTCATGGCATCCATAGAAGTCATCACCTCTCAGGTATTGTTTAACCTAATGCTTTGGTTCCAGATGTCATGCATTCTCATTAGTTTTGTATGCTGTGTTATTCACACTGCATGTTGTCTACATGGATTCAGTGGTAACAGCATCACTGACAGTTTACAAATGCCTGTTCCTGTAGGAGAAAGAGGTGACTATCACCAAACCTAATGGTGAAACCACAGTAACTACAGTGAGGATCTGGAATGAGACTGTGTCCAACCTCACACTCATGGCCCTGGGCTCCTCTGCACCTGAAATCCTGCTTTCTGTTATTGAGGTGCACATTTAGTGTGTGTTAAAAGCATCTTTAATGTCGTCACACAACTAACAGTTGTGTTTCTTTGTGAATGTGTTGTTCATACATCCTTCAAGAAAACCAGAAATTTCCTTCCATTTAAAGTTTTTAAAATACTTGCACCTCTCAGATTGTCATGAAACACTGTGACTTGCAGCTGTGGTGTAAATAAATGAAAATGTGCAGTAAGTGCAATTTTGCAGCTTTTTTCAGTCTGAAATTAAATCAACCCTATTGTCACTGTTATATTGATATTATGCCGCCGCGCCGGCAACAACTGTGGCAGGAGACATTATATTTTTGGG